AAATCACAACCAAACAAACTGTAGAGTTGTGGAGCCCAGCTCTATCTAGATATAAAAGACAACTCTTCGTCCTAAGGCTCAGCGAACATTATGGAAGGGAATAGAGAATGACTGTAATAACCACAGGACAAGGGAGTCCGCTGTGAGCCTATGTCTCCTAGAATTATTAAAAGCTTTACCCACAAAAATCTCACCAGCATGACTGCCAGCACACACGCTGGACAAGGACATCAAAAATGGACACACCAAACTGAATGGGGGGAAGATCACAAGGTGTCAACACTATGCAAAGAGTCACGGGTAACTAGGTAATACTGGGAGTATGGACACAGCCCTCCCCAGGCAGAGCAGACCAATTGGTTATCAGATATGAGACAGGCATCCCTGAAACACACAAACAAGTAATAGCACTGAGAGAGCGGGTTATGCTTAGGAATATAAATGCTTCATCTTTTTGCAAGTGAGTAACATCTACTGGACATATGCGAGACAGATTTTTCTCCCTTTTATTGTATGCAATAGCCATGGGTCTGTGTCATTCTACTTTGTGACACTATAACAAATACTGCATGATTTATCAGAGAAAACACATGCATGTATTCACATTCCTGGAAGCTAGGACGTCCAATATCAAGCTGCTAGGACATGACCAGGGTCTCTTTGATGATTCGTAGAGGGCCATGGTGGAAGAGGGAACAGACCTGCCCTTTTATCATGACATTAATTGCTCCCGACTTTATATCTCTACCTTCCAACAAGTTTTGAATTGGGCATTTGGGTTTACATTCTGGTTAACAGTTGAACCACAGACTTCTTTCTCGGAGGCCCCCTGAATTAATTCCCTTTCTCATGACTGTGATCAAACACATGACGGGTAACTTAAGGGGGACCAGGGTTTATTCTCTGCAAGTCATTACATCAGGAAAGGTGATAACTGCAGAGTGAGGTGTCAGGTCACTTCCACAGATGCCATGCTCAGTGGCAGCAGGACCAGATGTAACCCCATTCCCTACGATGGGATACCATGCTCAGTCTTAACTTGAGGGAGAGTGGCCTGGCCCTGCCCCAACCTATTTTTCCAGGTGAGGTTGACTCCTCATGGGTCAGGTGAGAAGGAGCAGACTGGGGGTGGGCTAGGGGGGAGGTGAGGAAGAGTGGGAGGAGGAAGAGGGGGTAAGAGGAGGGGTGGGAGAGAGAACTGTGGTTGGAATGTAAAATGAAATCCAAAAAATAAAGAATATGAAAACACACCCGGAAATAACAGAAACCTTACATATTCATGGAAACTGATAAGAGAGGGGGAGGAGAGAAGAGAGGAGAGAGGAAGAGGAGGGGAAGAGAGGAGAGAGGGGGTTGACTTGCATATGACAGAACAATCAGCTATCAGTTGCTGAGAAATAAAAGTGAGGTTCTGATGTCTTCACTTCCAGGCTGAGAGCTGAGCCGAAGGACAGTGATCTGTACTCCACTGCCTCCGGACTGTCTTCTGCCCAACTTGGCACTGCCCAACGTTGTAAAATATTTAGAAACTGGTCATTAAACAGGCTTTGAAAGCTCTATTGTGCCAGTCAGCTCGCCTTTTATCTGATCTCGGCACCAAGTTCTGAGTTAGAACAGGCCCCAGTCAAAATGTCCATTATTATCACAAATAGTGAAGGAGATGATTCAGGAAATCTATGTCTTCAAAGCCAGACTTCTCGGGGAAAAAATAAAAGTTGCTATCATCTGAATGTCTGGCGTTATGTGGACCAGGCTCCACCTCAAGGAATGAGTGGCTAATGATGGGATTTGAGCACTTGGCATGAAAGCAGCGGGAGGAGAGTCTCAAGATATTTATGAAAGGATCTCATCGGGTAATGTCCTGCCGTGGTTTTTAACTTCAGGAGACATACAGAATTTCAAGGAATGGTGGACTGCAACAAAAATGAGGACACCGGAATAGTATCATGCAGACAAATTTGATAAACATGCAGGTCTTTGGAAACCACCAGCAAAGCAAAGACGCTCCCCCCTTATTGTCACCCTTTGTATTACTTTCTGTTATAGGGTGGATACATAGCCCAGGTTGGCCTGGAACTTTTCTTTTCTTTTCTTTCTTTGGTTTTATGAGACAGGGTTTCTCTGTATTGTTTTGGAGGTTGTTGGTCCAGCGGGGCCTCGAACTCACAGAGATCCGCCTGCCTCTGCCTCCCGAGTGCTGAGATTAAAGGCGTGCACAACCACGGCCCGGCAGCCTGGAACTTTTCTAATCCTCCTCTCTCAGCCTCCCAAGTGGGGGTGAACCTCCACAGCTAGTCCTTTCTTCACTCCCAGTACTTCCCAGGGAAATATCCCAGTTTCTGGCATTTTGTTTCATATCTCCTAAACGGGGGGGGGCTGGGATTTTTGTTTGTATGTTGTTTTGTTTGTTTTGTTTTTAGCTGAGTCCAAGTGTGCAGTATGTCAAATGTGTTCAGCTGAGATGGTGTTCGTGTTCAATCTTCAGGACCAGAGAAAACTAGAACTCAAATCACAATATAACACCTAGCAGCTGAACTGACCTGGATATTTCTAATTGCTTTAAGCCTTTTTTTGGTCAACCATAAATTGATGGTAGATTATTGAGTACCCAAATACCAATGAACTTTTACAAATATGAAATGTATTAATGAAAGGCAGTTGGTACTAGCCACTATCAATATCAGTGTTTGTTCTTCTTTCATAGGAAGAACATGGAATCATCTTCCCAAAGATGGAATGGTGATATAGGCTCCATTCATTTTTCTGGAGAAGAAACAGACAGTTACACCCATAACCTCATTTTTACTTAACATCTTTCCTGGGCTTGGGGGAAAGTGGTGTTTAATATGCATTGGTTTTAATCTGTGTAAGTCTATTTAATGCAAACAAAAGGTACACCAACTCTACAACTGGGATTTCTGAAGATCGTCGTGGTGCTCCTGGTTCAAGTTTTTACCTGTGTTACACCTTCTGACTCCATGAACCCTGTAGTTACTCAGAGCTGTTGAAGCTTCTGGAAGAAGCTTCACTTTGTTCTTTCCTCCCTGTCTGTTTTAAAAGTCATCCCATCCGTTAACAAAATTTGGAGGTTTTGCCTTTCGTTTCTCTACCAGATATACCACTTCCTTTATTTGACAATTAACCCGAAGTCAAGTATGGGATGTAGACGTTTCAAGTTAGGTAAGGATTACGTGTAGCAAGTCATGGTGAGATCCATTAGCAAGAAGGCAATTATGAGAGAGAATTTGATGCATTAATTTTACTGCCTAGAATTTGAAAATCTTGTCTAGGTCACATTATTCCAAATTTTAAAATGAATTTCTTTCTTGCTTTCCCAAGTGATTTCACACATTATATCATTTGAGCCTTGGAAAGGCACTAGTGAGTTATAGCTATTTTCATTTCTACTCCGCTGCTGATACTGAGAATCTGAAAATTGACACATTTTCCTCCTTACATTTAATTATAAATTTTTAGTTTTTAGACATTTACATTTAAATATAAGCTCATCATTTTCCTCTTTCCCTCCTTCCAACCCCTCCCAAGTCCCCATAAGTCTTTCCATGCCCCCCATTACTTTCAGAGTGATAGCCTTTTCTTCCTTAATTATTATTGCTATATATTTAGACGTATGCACAAATACATAGATACAATCTGCTGAGTCCTTTTTACTGTTCCAGTGTATATCATTTCAGTGTTGACTCCTTTGTATTGCACAGCCAATGAGGGGCCTTGTCCCCTGGACATGCTAATTTTCTCTTTCTCAGAACTCATCAGTTATCTGTAGTTCCTTGCCCAGTACTCGAGATTCCGCATTAGTATGTCTGCTGATATTGCCATTGTTTAGAACCTATTTATGAAGCCATTTCTGTGAAAGACTGTTTCACAACTGACAGATATTCTAGCTCTTAGTCCTTCTTAACCATCGTCCCTGGTGTTCCCTGGGTCGTAGATGCAGAAGCTGTGATGTAGATGTATCCTTTGGGTCAGGACTCCCCTTAAATGATTGACTTCTGTATTGTGTCCAGTGTATTTTCTGTGATAATCTCCATGTGTTGTAAAGAGACCGCTTTGATGAAGGGTGACAGCTAAACTTAACTGTCAAACAAGTGGGTATAAAGATAAGATTTAGACCCAGTTAGAGTTATGCTTGACAGAAAGTGGTAGTAGTAGATTCTCTTTTAAAATCCTTGACTACACCCTAGAAGTGGTCTAGGTTTCTAGTGTTAGGTACAGTTTTCCTCTTATTAAGTCAAATTAGGCAACTGTCTCCACCAAGACATTATTGCTGTTTACTGTGCCAATAAGTATATATTGCTATCTGATCATTCACTGCTGTGGCTCACAGCTGTCACAGAGATGTATAACTGTTAATCCCCCCACACACACACCCAGAGTATACCCAACAGCTTGCATAGTGTTGTCTGGAACCACAGAACCTACACAGAAGGGAAGAAGCTTTCAGCTTAGATCTAATTGTAGTAATGAAAGTCCTGTGTCCTCCGACTGTGATGTCTCCAGCAGTAGGGGCTTACCTTCATTCAACTTCTGACAGGCAATCAAGAGCAGCAGCCATGGTCTATATTATCTTAGGAGTCACTGGTACCAAAATAGCATATTTTATGTGAAAATATACAATATGGCCCTAAGGCCATAGTACTTGCTGTATCATACCTTTATGTTTCTGTCCTATAAGAAAATCAGAGAAGGAAAACCGAAGCCTTACATGCCTCCCTATTGCTTACCTCCCCCACTGATTGCATGGCCCTTGTGCGATCATGGAACATGCAGTGCTGACGTCCGTCTAAAGTGTTTAGAATTCAGTTTCTTTCTCCAGCACTGCGAGCCACCTGCCAAGCTATAAGCACAGGAAACAATCCTATTATGTTTACAGGATCTCTGGATCCCAGAATTCTGGAGGACACCACAGAGATAGCTCTCCCATGCTCCGCATTGCTGGAGTCTCCATTGAAAACAAGACTCAAAGGCTGAAGAGCTGGTACTGCCCAAAAGAATCTTTACTCATGGGTATGCGGTTGTGGCAGCTATTGGCTGGTAACCCACTCTGGACTTCGGGGTAGAAAACAGGCTTTTCTGTGTAGCTGGAGAGGCACTGTCACGAGATAAAAAGTTGGCAATGAAAGCAGGAACTTCAGTTGGATGGGAAGACATGGTGTTGCAACTTCATGGTCTAGATGTAAAAAAAAAATCACTTGGTGTTACTTCCATCACGCTCAGCATAAGCACTTAAAAAGAAGTGCTTAAATCCCAAGAGGAGTGACAGAGTCATGCTGTAGGGGACATATTGGATGACATATCCTGCCTTGGCCAGCTTCAGAAAATACAATCTGCCACACACTTGCTGTTCACTCTGTCACATGGATTCCATCCCTATTCTTTTTATTTTTCCAATTCCTTCATATCTTCACAGTGTCTGCTCAATGTTCTAATCTATGACCACCGTGTCTGCAGTTTCCTCTTTATTTCTGGCTTCCCCTATTGCCCTCTTTAATATATTATTCAACTTGCCTACTTTCCCTACCCTTCCTTTGTTTTTAACCTACCCATCTATGCATCTTTGTGTGTGTCCTCTACTGATTGTTCTGTCTATATCGATGTTATTTATAAATTCACCTACCCAAAACACCGACCTCTAGACCTTACTGCCTTTTAAGGTCAACACAAGTAAGTTCCACACAAAGCACTCTTGGGGCAGTGAAACCACACTGTGTGTTGCAATCATACTACATGCTTTTTGACATCTTCCAAGTGTATCACAGCAACTTAGAGCTGAAACTATGAACACTAGGAGATAACTTTATGCCATTGTAGTAAATTTGATAGTAATGATGTGATGTGGTGTCTGAAATTATTGACAACTGGAAAAGTATCAGGCATGTGTGAGGATCGCAGGTGTGTGACAAGCTTTGTTTGTTCTCTTTGTTGGGAACCTCAATTATTTCTAAACACAAGAAATATAAGACAGTGTTCAAGAACTTGCGTAGCATGTATAAGGCCCTAGGTTCAATTCCCAACTTTGAAAAAATAAATGAATAAGTAAAATAAAATCTTCTTAAAATTATAAATGCCCTTTTCCAATAATGAGATTGATGACTACCTCATATGCCATCCTAGAGCCTTCATCCAGTAGCTGATGGAAGCAGAAGAAGGCACCCACAGATAAACACCGAGCAGAACTCTGGAATCCAGTTGCAGAGAGGAAGGAGTGATGAGCAAAGGAATAAAGGTCAGGATGGAGAGACCCACAGACACAGCTAACCTGGACAAGGGATTGCTCATGGACCCCAGACTGATAGCTGGGAAACCAGCATAGGACTGTTCCAGACCCCCTGAACATGCATGTCAGTTAGGAGGCCTGGGCAATCTATGGGGCCTCTGTTAATGGATCAATATTTATCCCTAGTACACAAGTGGACTTTGGAGCCCACTTCACATGGAAGGATACTCTCTCAGCCTAGACACATGGGGAAGAGTCTAGGCCCTGCTCCAAATGATATGACAGACTTTGAAGACTCCCCCATGGAAGGCCTCACCCTCCCTGGGGAGCAGAAAGGACATGAGATAAGGGGTTGGTGTAGGGCAGGGGAGGAAGGGAGGGAGAAAGAACTAGGATTGACCTGTAAAGAAGCTTGTTTCTAATTTAAATTAAAAAATGGAAAAAAATATCATGAGATGGAGGGACTTGTCTGTCTTGTTTTCTGTCTTGTTGTGGGATACAGGCTATGCTGGATACAAACAGAATGTACACTGTGTAAAAATGTCTTAAGGGATAGTACATGAACCTATTGATATAAATTATTTTGTATGGTTATTGTACTAAATCTGAAAACATACAGACAAGCAGAAAAACCCTTGATTACTTCATACAGGGAGTATTAAAAGGTAAGGTGACTCGATCTGGTACAATGGAATGTAAAAACAAAACTATGGTTACTGCATAATTTTTTTTTCTGGGCCAACTCTGACTTCCCAAATTGACAAATCTAGACAAGGGACTTGCCAGTTTTTCCAAAGGGTAGAGAATAAAAAGCAAGTCACAGTTACTTATGTCATTGCTTCAATGTGCTAATGTGATCTTCATGTAAATGAACCTCCTCCAACCTACACATTTTATTGCACCAATTATTCTTTCTCAGAAATGCCTTTCTCATCCTTTGATTTGTTCTGCCTTGTGACTATAGATAATCAAACCACCATTTGGAAATGGAGTCTCCAATTTTCCCTGACATGGTATCAGAAGTTGAGGCTACTCTTGGGGATGACCTCCACCAGTGTTCTCAACCCATTAATAATGCCTGTGACTTCCCAGTAGTTGCAAAGACAACATGTTCCTCTCTCTCCTGTGCCGGGATATGCTTCCATCTTCAATAATGAGGTACAGATCTCCCTCCAAGCCATTTCTGTAGATTTGAATTTAAATGATAACTCCTGAATTACCAACTTCACACTCAGATTTCTCCCTTAAAGACAAGATTTATACATCTAATTAGTTACTGGACATTTCAATTTGACGATTCACCAGAACTTGACATATCCAAAATTTATTTTATCATTGACCCCAAAAATCATTCCCTTATTCTAGTCTGTTAGTGAGCAGGCCTGCTGTATGACAGAATTTTCTATGAAGCTAATGAAGAATAAAGCTCTGTGCAGGCCTTGTGTGGGTTCCTTCTAATGTATTATCTTGTATCACACCTTTCCTGTCTTATTATTCCATAGCCAACGAAAGTATATGAATACAGTTTCATTCTCATCTGTTAGACTGACTTCCACAGGAAAAAAAATGGTTGTTTTGAATATCATCTGTTCTGAAGAGAGGCTGTGGGTCACTGTTTTAGAGTAAAAGTCAATACTTTTATTACTTTTTACATTTAAATTCCTTGTTAATAATAAACCCATTGACCAAGTTGTTGTATTCAGTGACTGTGGAGTCAAAAGTGTATCTGGAATTTACATTATTCAAATCAAAATGTCCCATGGTGTTACTCTAAGGGAGTTACTGGGCATATCAGCTTCATACTTCTTCAGTTTAAAGTTCTGGTCATGTCACGTTGTGTAGAATTTTATAATATAATAAATGTGTGCTTTCTCCGCGGTATCTTGACTTTATTGGATGCCCTTCCTTATATATAAACATCATAAGCAAACAGGCCTTGCTATGCATTCAAAACGTTATCAACCACACCTACAGTGTGGCATATGATTTTAACTGGAATTGTACAGCTAAATGGCTGCCCTGAGACCCTTGCCATGGAAGGTCATTCAATATTTATAGCTGCTTGGCAAAGACTTAAAATGGAGGATTTCATATTTCTGGAGGAATCTATGAAGTTGTCACTGTCCACAGTTCTCCTGGATTTTCTAAAATTACTCACAAACTTTCAGAAAAAGTGGCAGCCTATTGAGAATTGAGTGTATTTTCTTTCTGAGTAGTTTTCATTGTTGTTGCTAATGTTTTTCTGACAGTTACAGGTTGGATAAAACCCCCTCGATTATGCTTTGGTTTTCTCTTAGCATGCTCACCCAGCTGCTGCCAGTTTAGAGAAAACAGAGTGGTCTAAGTTTCCTCCCTTCCTTCTCAAGGTTTTCTAACCTTGAAGTGATAAGAGAGTTTAGATCTGATTTTCTGGTTTGAATGAATGACTCTAGATGACGTTAGGGAACACAACCTCTGCAGCCCATAAGCAGAGAGGGCTGCAGAGAGAGCAGTAACAGGAGAACCCATGCCTGGGAATCAGAAGCTACCTTATCACTGTCACACAGTATGAGCCACACAGTAACCAAGCCCCTCTCCTCTGTTCAGAGAAAAAAAATGGCCCTTGTCACATGACAAGAATCACAATAGCGATGCTTCCCTATCCCTGTTACATAAAAGCCATCATGCTTTTTCTAGGTTTCCTTTCTAGGACCAAACCTGCCGTTTCCTCAAAGACCATCAAAGATGATACCTTGCTTTGTCTTGAGGAGCTGAAGCTCTGACTGTGACCCCATCCATATTGCCCAACCCGTCTCATCTCCCTATCCAAAATGCTAACAGTGAAAACTTGGATACCTCTTATAGATCATCTGGCTGTGGTATCTTATAGTCACAGTCAGTGCTGATGTTCTTTCCCATGGCTTCTGCTTCAGTTTTTCAGGGTAAACACTCTGGTTTATGTCTCCTTTATTCTCCTTCACACTTGGACTCGTTTGTAGACAGTTATGGAGTCTTCCTTGCGTGAATGTTTCCTTTGAAGCTATTGAGCGTATGGCACTCGAGAGTTTCCTACACACATTGATGCTGGATTTTAATGAAATCTGAAATCTGTTCAGACTTGCTTGGAGTAAGACGCTTTAAACGATATTCCTTCACATCTTTGTACGAGGAATAATTACCTCTGGATAAATGTGTCTAACTTCTGGATCTAATATATCATTGGCTCCTAGGAAGCCTAGAGCCAAATTTGTGTGCTCTTAGCTATTCATTATAAGTGCATAGTATAATTTCTGCATCCCATTTCATTTCAGGTTCTATATATCCTTGCCCTGACTTTACTCCCACCTTTCTGTTTAAAACTAATTATGTGCTGTGCCACTGTGCTGTATGTCTTAGAAAGTGTCTACAGTTTTATTTTTTCAAGAGCGACAGTGTCTGCAAGAGACAACAAACACACAAATAGATGTGGTGTTCATCTATTTACATATGCCTACATAAAATCAAGAACTATTTTGTCTCTTTTCACTCCCGTTCCCTTTTTTTTTTCCCCTGTCAGTAATCCTCCCTTTCAGGAACCTCATTCTACAAGGCCACTCTCATCATGCTGTAAGTTCTCTCCGTCCATCCATGGCTCTCCAGACATGTGTTTCAGAAACTGCCCTTACTGAATGACCTCATGTGGGTTGTTACCCCTCAAGCAGAGAAAGTCCTTACTTTCATGATTCCTAGGTTTCCACGAAGTATTTTGCCACCCTCTCACCCCCCCCCACAAGGCCTTGCATCTTCTTTTTCCTTTGTCTAAAAGCCCATCCTGTCCACACCCCTCACCTGGTTTGCTCCCATTCACCTACTGCTGTCTTCTTTGGGAAGCCTTACCCACTGCCCGGGGCTCGGGTGGGTGCCCCTCCTCTATGTTGCCATGGTACACTCTGCTTACGTCTACCCTGTACTTATCACTGTATTATTAGTGTTAA